TATTAAGAAAATGAAGATGTATTGAAAGACTTTTAAAGAATTGATTTTTTAAAATATATTTTGATCAACATCACAAAATTTATATAACTGGCCCAAACTGGCAGATGATGAAATAAGCAATTAAATGTTCTACTTTCCTATTTGTAAGCTTTATGTGTCCAGTGGTAAGGAGCCTATTAGGATAGCATAAAAAAGAATGTACAAATGTTAATAATTAATTTATAAAAAAAAATTATTTCCTTTTCCTTTGGGACTTTTTTATTCTCATGTTCATAACTAAACCTAAACATAAAAAAAAATGCTGGCCTTATAATGAAGAAAGGGTCGATCCTCTTTCAAAATAGATAATTTCAGGGCTGCTGGGTCAGGGGTACCAAGGGGGTACTTTGACAAAAAATAAATTAATGCTTTGAAATCTGCCCTTTGATAAGCAATGGTGCCTCTTTCAAAATTCGTGAATTTCATGGCTTCTGGCTTAAAACATGAACCAAATACAATCGCTGGAAAGATGTTGCATGATACTCAGATGACCTATAAGGCCCGTGGGCCTCTTGTATTAAAATAGATAGGAAAAATCTCAAGAACTACTGGGCCAGAAAAGCTGAAACTTATGTGGAAGCATCCTGGGGTATTGTCGTTTCTAAATTGTTAAAATCATGACCCCCAGGGGTAGGGCAGAGCCCCAATAGAGAATCCAACTTTGAAATTGAAATATATAGGAAAAATCTGTTTACAAAAACTTCTCAAGAATCACTGGGTCAGAAGAGCTGAAACTAGAAGCAACCTGGGGTAGTGTAGATTCTAAATTGTCCAAATCATGACCCCCAGGGGTAGGTGGGAAAATCTGGTGAAGAGCAGCATGGTTAAAGTTACTCATTTGAGCCTTGTGGCCCATGGATCTCTTGTTCTATGGAAGCACCCTCAGGTGATTTTGATTCAGGTTTCTTTAAATCATGACCCCTGGGGGTAGGTGGGGGTACAATGGGGGATCAAAGTTTTACATAGAATAAAATAGGAAAAAAAAAATTCTCAAGAATAGAAAAGCTATGTTTAGTCATACAGTCTATCGACATGTAGGCATTCTCATGTAGGGAAGATTCAATTTTGTTCAAATCATGATCTCGGGGTATGGACAGGCCACATAGGGGGATCAAATTTTAACTAAGTTATATATACATGTAGGAGGAAAAATCCTGATTTTTTTTATCCTTAGCAAAGTTATATGCTTATTTGATAAGGAGGCATCCTCAACCAGTATAAAATCCAAGCCCCAAAACCCGATAATTTTTCAATAACAAACCAGTTTGTGCTTTTTCATAGCTGATAAGCTCAGATGCCTGATGAGGCCCATGGGCTTTGAGAATTTTCTTGAAGGAATTTAAGTCGCTTGCTATTTTTTGCACAACTACTGTAAAAACACATATTTTTTGGGGGGTCAAATTTTGTGCATTGAGAAAAAATATGCATGTGGGAATTTGACTTTGCGGATATAAAAATGCTGCATAGTTATATATAAGGAATTTTACATTTCATGGTGGACATAAATGAGTGGGACTCATTATACCTTGAAAACAAAGAAAAATTAAACCTACATGAAAATTACTGATTTCACAGTAATTTAAAATGACAGTTGTACCTTGCTTCATGTGAGAAACACCTTTGCTAGCCAGGACTTTTCTGTCCACTTTGCTTCTCATGAAGTAGGGGCAGAGTGGACCACAAACATTGGTTAGTGAAAATGTTCGTTTTTATATTTCTTGCTTAACAAATAGTGTAGAACTAATATGCTGTTCATACTTCAAAACTTTCAATATGTAGATAATAACTTTTTGAAAAATATAAATTTTTATTGAAATGACATATGAAAGACTTCAATGTACATGTAAAACTGACAACAGCTTTTTTTGAACCATGTCTCTTGTTTCTGCATTATGAATTGCACAGAAAGTTTTCTGTAACCAAGACAACTGGTCTCTACACACTGTATCTATGGCAACCTTTCCACACAGGTCCTCCACCTGGCACACAATGTCTAACAGCAGTATATTGACAGAATCGAGCATTTCTTGGGGGAAATGGCCTGTTGCCAGGGTGATATGTGAGAACACTTGATTGAGCAGGAACAGACAGCAGTGAGGTTTAATAACTGTTTCTGACAGAACCACATTCTGTAAATAAAAATTGATAAAAAACATACAACTTCAAAATGAAAAGTCAACCTCTATACATATGTTTTTATTCATGTATAGAGAAATAATAAACTAGAAGCTCAGGCAGCTGACGTTACTTATATTTCTTTTAATAGAAATAACGTCAGGTGCCTGCGACTAGAGACACTGTCAGCCTTGACAAGCTGACCAAATAGAATAACCTTGAATATTAACCATTTTCTGTTATGTTGTTATGAGAGATCACGGAGAAATCAATTTCTGAGCATGTAAAGCTCAACACAGGGATTCATTTGTTAAGAATACAAAAGGTTTAGTATTCCACGCAAAAGGTCATAAGGGAAAATATTTGCACCCTAATTGTCAGTCTTATTAAGTTCACTAGGTATCGCCCTGGTCAACTAATCTTAAATGGATTGGTAGGAGGATACTTCCTTGGATAGAATGCATTTTTCTTTGGGGATAGGAAGTATATATGTAATACAGTATTGCAATAACAATTTCACCTACAATATTACACTTTTTAGGTCACCTGAGTAAACTCAGGTGACCTATTGCTATCACTTTTCGTCCGTCGTCGTTCGTCGTGCGTTAACATTTGAACATTTTCAGCTTCTTCTCTGAAACCACAGACCCAATTTCAACCAAATTTGGCATATAGTATCTATGGGTAAAGGGGAACAAAAATTGTGAATTTCATGGTCCCTGCCCCCCTGGGGCCTGGGGGGTGGGGCAAAAACCACTAAAATTGGTGCAATCTTTAAAAATCTTCTTCTTTACTCCTGGACATCAAGCAGTCAAACTGTTTGCATGATTGTAATCAGCATTGAGTCCTCTACCAAAATTGTGAAATTCATGGCCCCGGGGTCATGGGTTCTAGTGCTAGGGCGGGGCCAAATAAGTATATAGTGAAAATGCATTATTTCTTTGAAAATCTTCTTCTCTGCTACTGGGTATTAAATAAACCTACTAAGTACATAGTTATGATGAGCAAGAGTGCCTCTACCAAAATTGTGAATTTTATGGCCCCAGGGTCAGGGGTTATGGTGTAAGGGTGGGGCTCTATAGATTATAATAGTGAAATTACATGAATTCTTTGAAAATCTTCTTCTCTGCTACTGGGTATTAAATAAACCTACTAAGTACATAGTTATGATGAGCAAGAGTGCCTCTACCAAAATTGTGAATTTTATGGCCCCAGGGTTAGGGGTTCTGGTGTAGGGGTGGGGCTCTATAGATTATATAGTGAAAATTCATGAATTCTTTGAAAATCTTCTTCTCTGCTCCAGGGTATTAAATAAACCTACTAAGTACATAGTTATCATGAGCAAGAGTGCCTCTACCAAAATTGTGAATTTTAAGGCCGTAGGGTCAGGGGTGCTGGTGTAAGGGTGGGGCTCTATAGATTATAATAGTGAAATTACATGAATTCTTTGAAAATCTTCTTCTCTGCTCCTGGATATTAAATAAACTAACTAAGTGCATAGTTATGATGAGCAAGAGTGCCTCTACCAAAATTGTGAATTTTATGGCCCCAGGGTCAGGGCTTCTGGTGTAGGGGTGGGGCTCTATAGATTATATAGTGAAAATTCATGAATTCTTTGAAAATCTTCTTCTCTGCCCCTGGGTATTAAATAAACTAACTAAGTGCATAGTTATGATGAGCAAGAGTGCCTCTACCAAAATTGTGAATTTTATGGCCCCAGGGTCAGGGGTTCTGGTGTAGGGGGGGGTCTATAGATTATATAGTGAAATTACATGAATTCTTTGAAAATCTTCTTCTCTGCTCCTGGGAATTAAATTAACTAACTAAGTGCATAGTTATGATGAGCAAGAGTGCCTCTACCAAAATTGTGAATTTTATGGCCCCAGGGTCAGGGGTTCTGGTGTAGGGGGGGGGGTCTATAGATTATATAGTGAAATTACATGAATTCTTTGAAAATCTTCTTCTCTGCTCCTGGGTATTAAATTAACTAACTAAGTGCATAGTTATGATGAGCAAGAGCGCCTCTACCAAAATTGTGAATTTTATGGCCCCAGGGTCAGGGGTTCTGGTGTAAGGGGGGGGGGCTCTATAGATTATAAAGTGAAAATTCATGAATTCTTTGAAAATCTTCTTCTCTGCTCCTGGATATTAAATAAACTAACTAAATGCATAGTTATGATGAGCAAGAGTGCCTCTACCAAAATTGTGAATTTTATGGCCCCAGGGTCAGGGGTTCTGGTGTAGGGGGGGTCTACAGATTATATAGTGAAATTACACGAATTCTTTGAAAATCTTCTTCTCTGCTCCTAGGAATGAAATAAACTAATTACATAGTTATGATGAGTAAGATTACCTCTTCCAAAATTGTGAATTTTATGGCCGTAGGGTCAGGGGTTCTAGTGATAGGGCGGGGCTCTATTGATTATATAGTGAAAATACATTGAATCTTTGAAAGTTTTCTTCTCTGCTCCTTGGTATTAAGCAGATGAACTACCTATATAGTTATGATGAGCAAGGGTACTAATCTTCCAGAATTGTGAATTTCAAGGCCCCAGGGTCAGGGGTACCATAAAGGAGGGAGGGGGGCTGTACTTATATACTGAAACTGGATGAATTGTTCGAAATATGCTCCTTGGTATTAATCAAATATTTTTGTAAAACAAGGGTGCCTTTTCAAAAATTGTGCAATGTGTGGATCTAGGCCTAAGGGTCAGGGGTTCATGTGTGATTGGGGCATTACTGATCATGCTGAATATTACTGATTACTTGAAATGCATTTTTTGTTCCCCTACCCTGCCTATGGGTATTAAGTAAACAAACTAAGCAACTGCTAAGTGTATTGTTATGATGATCAATGGGGCCTCTTTCAAAATTGTGAATGCCATAGCATCTGGATTAAAACATGAATCAAATTCAATCACTGGAAAGTTGTTGCATAATGCTCAGGTGACCTATAAGGCCCATGGGCCTCTTGTTAAAAAAAATGAAAGAGGGAATACCTTGTAGACAGCCATTGTAGACCTGATACAATGTTCCACAGCAGGAGGAGGGAGCTGGCTTTGTGTTTGAGATAGAATCCTCAGAACATCACTAAGTAACTGAGACAGGGGAAGCAACTCTGAAATCTCTGAAACAGAAAAAATAATGTTATCTATTTCTGGAGTGCATCTTTCCTTATGATGATATCTTTTTTCTGTTCAGTTTATCTAGACGTAACAGATACATACATTACTAAAAGCATTATGATCAGTCTTATTTTTAAATAGTTACATGATACCTGTGAGATTAACCAGTGGCAAAATTCCTGACATCTTAACAGATACGCAAAGATGACCGGATTTGACAATTCCTCTCAGGAACTTGAATAACCGAATCCATTCCTCTGGTATCAAATGTGGTGTCACCTAAAATAGAGAGATATTAAATTCCATAATGATGACAGTCAAGAGTACATGTCTAGAAATCTACGGTATAACAATTTTCTTTGTGTATCTATTAATTTTTTTTCTAATTTATTTATTCAAACCTTATTACCAAAGACTATATATCTTTACTCTAGTCAGATTTGAATTTACAGTAAAGTTTTGAAAATAAAGAATGAAGAATTTAATATTCATCCCCCTACATATAAAGCCAGCAATGTACCAATGAACTGATTCAAAAATTCATATTTTGATAAACCCTACCTGTGAAAGAGTTAACAGCAATGTTTGGTAATTGAGAGTCCATCTGTCATGAAGGTAACCCCCAATCATCTGAGAGAGTTCCTCACTTCCAGCAACGAGCCGCAGGAAATTCTCATAATCTATTTCTGTAATACAGATACTGAACTATGTGAAAAATAACTCCAGACAGGGTAAATATTTGTACTAAAATGGTCATTGACAATTTTTACTCACCTTGGTCTGGGTGGAGAAGATGTTTGCACACAGAATCACAGACACTGTAAAACTCTTCATCTGTCAGACATACATGTAAAGCAGCCAATCTTACAGTGCAGTCATAATCCATTGTGGCTTTTACAATCCAGTCAACTATAAAAAGTTACCATCAAATATAATTTCTATTGTTAGTCCATCCTTTTGCTCACTTGTCTATGAAAATTGTAAATCATCATCTAATATTTACAATTCATTTTGTCTGAGAGGAACCAATATCCTCTATTATGAAATAATTTCCCAAGTTATTTAATAATTTCCAGTATAAAGAAAGACTACATTTGTAACAATATTAATGGGGTTTTTACATGTAAATGTCACTAGCATTGAAATTTCTTTTTTTAAAAATTGTAAAGACTTGCTGGAATAGACATATACTGTATGCAAAAAGAAAAAAAAAATGGCATCCTCTTTTGTCCCCATTCAAGTCCAACTGGCTTGAACAAAATTTTCCAATACACATAGAAGCTTTAACATACATCAAATTCTAGTATTCTCTATATCAAAAATTTTTACCTAAAAAGCCAGTAAATTATTGTTGAACTATAATTCCATTGTTCTGATGTTTTTTTTTTTTTTTTTTTTTTGCTTTTTGTGTGTATACATAACACATAATGTTTGTTTCTACTTAAAAAGAAAATGAACATACCACAAAATGTGTTCCTTTCTTTAAACTGCCTTAGAAGGTTAAGATAGGCCACTACTCTTGGTTTAATGATAACACTGTCCCTGTTCTTATACCACAGAACCCTGCAGTTCTCCAGTATCTCAGCAGCTGACCCGAGGCTCAGTGTGAGGTCAATGTCTGACTTCCCTTGTTCCAGGATCTCGATCAATGCTACTCCTCCCAGATCTAGAGCAAGTTGCACGGTCAGCTCTGAGTTTTGATGTTTACATGAAGACAAATGAGGAACTACCACGGAGAGGTAGAATTCCTCTGGATCTAGCACAGCTTCCTTACCATCCTACAATGTACCGATAGTAACGTCAGTAACAATACAAATTTACTCAAATTTAGAGTAAAATTTCAAGATTTACACATCAATACATTTTTTATATCAAAATTATTTTTTTTAACTACCTTGATGAGATCCTGCAGAAATTTAATCATTGTGTCCTGTTCCTTCTGAGTAAGAGAGTGAGAAGTCAGGAAATCGGCCAGTCTGCTACAGAGCATACTTCTGGCTGAATCATCACGATATAAACACAGTTCTTGTAGTGTCTGCAGTATCTGTGTATAAAATACAGAATTCTGAATTTCTACAGTCATTTTTCTAGCCTGTCTGTATATTGTAAAGTTTTTAATAATTTACACAATATTGAACCCATCACCTGATGAAAATACTCTTAATTCATGTTTTAAAAAAATACATGAATATGCTATCAGTATGGTGGTGTGTTTGCATACAAGGTTTTAGTGTGACAAGATATTCTAAACACCCTTACTGAGTACGTAGTTATGTCTGTACTTTGTACTGTAATGACAGTGATGTTTGGATATAGAATATGTTGTACATACTGAGCATACAATGTCTGCCTGGTGTGTTCCACCTACAGCTCTCTCCAAAAGTTGGCTTACGGTCAGATCAGCATTTTGTAAAACAGCTTGATGAATCTCTACCAGAACCTAAACAAACCAGAAAAAAATCATCACTTATCATGACCATTTTCAAGTGAAAATGTGTACTTCACAATTGTAGTACACATAGTATAAATCACTGTTTATTCACAAGGCTTTATTTTAGAGTAATTACATGTATGCTAGACAGAATGCTTGCAAAAATTTCTCACATATATCAGAATCCCTAAAGATTTTATAGAACAATAACCATAGTTTGTGAATATTCTGTCTAGCTAATAGAGAGCCAATAACTATCTCATGAAAATAAGGTGTCGTGAAAATTTAGTGATCTACAGTATAGTTATTGACTTGTCTATAATCAATGACATAAATGCATGTTGAATGACTTAACTGGTTTTCACTGTAAAAGCTTTTACTTACATCTATATTAAGGATAGCACAGCAGCAGAACTGTAGCTCTCAAAAAAATATAATATTGATAGACAGGTCTTTATTTCTTTGGAACACTATAATTCTACAGTAAATGTTAGCACTGATTTCGAGAATTACCTTTTCTTCCATTCCTGTGGTGAATTTGTTGAGGATTTGATTTAAGGATGTGGGGGTAACAGACTGGGGTTTGGGCCACTCTCTGTAGGTGATGTACACATGTACAACATGCTGACCACGTGATGGAAGGTCAAGCTGACTAAAACTGTCCATCACCAACTGTAATAAGCGAGATTCTGAACAGGTGTGGTTAGTGTAAATAGAAATGTTTTAAGAAATGTAATATAGGAAGAGAAAAATGGCATTTCTTACTAAGAAACCCCTCCTCCTCCAACACTTCATAAGGAAATCTTTGGTTATGAAAAAACTAAGGATTCAAAATAATAAAGATTTAATATTAAACTTAGACAGTAAAAGAAACTGTACCAGTGTTAAGACTAGTCATTCACTTAAATTCTTTGTATTCATTTTTCATTATTTAAAATTGGAAAAATTTATTTATACCTTTGTCATTTTTTCTAACTGGGTATCTGCAACTTTGCCAGTTAATTTCCAAACAAGTTTATACAAATGCAGCAGTAGTTCCTTCTCTGCTAACAAGTCCAGATTTGATTGTAAAACTGAGAGCAACCTGCGTGGAAAAGATTTTATGTAAGCATAAAACTGTTATTTTTTAACAAGTGAATTAGAGACATTTCATTAAGCTTACTGTAGAATTGAGAATAGAGTTAAATAAAATGTGTAAATAGACGAAAAAGGAAAAAACATTCTCATCAAATTTACTTACTTGTCACATGACCAAAGTGAAGCGACTGGACTTGTCACAAACCTCCATAGAAAATCTACAAAATTCAAACAATATTAGATATATGTACATGTATTTTCATTGTTAATAATCATTTTCAATACTTTTATGCTTAACAGATGCTTGCCTTGAAATCTTGGTTGTCTCTCCTGAACTCGCCAAATTGCTGCTGTGATTGACATATCAGGAAAAATGTCATCTTCAACATTCACACTGCCTAACATTGAGGATAAATAACTATAAATTGTCTCACTGGTATCTTTTACATCAGGATCACATGCTCCTGGTAGCAACTGAATCATTTTCCTTATGAGGTTTCTACTATAAAAATTGACTTTCACTTTGTTCATGTCTGATTTTTTGCTTTGATTTTCTGAATACATTAGAATCTCACTCTCACAAATACATACAAATCTAAATTCAGAATCTGATGACAAAGAATCAAGTAGGGAACAGCATAACGTAGGACCCCCCAAAGACATCAATTTAATTAGAGAAGTAAAGAGGCATTGTGATGAAAGATTTTCTCTAAGATAATTGACAACTTCATTGTTCAAGTCAAAATAGCACCCACGCATGTTATCCATCATAAATTTACCAAAGTAGTCTTTTAAGATTAAACTTTTCTCTGAAGTGCTACTTTTGGTAGCAATGGCATTTCCATCAAACCATTTTTGCAAATTTTTGATACTTTCATCTTTGTTGTGCAAACACAGTAACAGTGAGATCTGATAGAAACATGTTGTTAGTAGAGTAATATCTTCATTTCCTAAGGAGGCTTCCTTCACACTGTCCATTATTCTACAAAACTGAGTCAAAACATCTGGAAACAGAGATAGTGCTCCCTGAATATTGTCTTTAACACTGTCAGATATCAGATATGACATCATGTGTTCAATAAGACAAGCTCCTAACTTGATGTCACAGATATCATGGCTGTCTAGTTGGTTTAGATATCCTATTCCATCTTGGATTAACTGACTAGAAAAATCTTTTTTCAAATGCCAGAGAATCTGAAATAATTAAACAAACATAAACAGGCATGGAAAAAATACTCTGCTGTGGTAAATTGATAATCATTATGTGATATAAGAGGTTGTATCTACTTTTTTTTTAGTATCTTTTGTCTTTCCAACTTTGTCAGAAAATGATTGTATCTCCATCACAAGCAGCATTAGAAACAAATGTAACAATCTGCGAGTTTTAAAGCAATTTTCAGTATAACATGTACAGTAAATTGAGGATACTTTGATTTAACACTTCATTATAGCATGGGGCTCCCCATTTATAGATTTATAATATACATGTACCTCTGTCAGGAATCCATGCCAGCAGCACTCCTTCACAAGACTGAAGTACAGCGACTTGCTGATAGAGGGCAAAATGTCTGACAAGACATCTTGACTGTCAACCTTTTTTGGTTCCATCCATCCATCTTGGAAGATGTCTGTAACCTCCTGCACTGAGCAAGCAGTGGCCTCATCTGGCAATTTCTTATAATGTGAAGCCAGAACCTTGTACAAAATCACGGAATGAACCCTCTTACTCCACCAAAGCTACAGCAAAAAGAAATAAGTGAACAACGTATGCAAATTATATGAAAGTATTGGGTGTTGCTAAAACGCGGAACGGAAAACGGAACGGAAAGCGGAACGGAACGGAAAACGGAAAATTTTTGTCAAACAAATAAAATAGATTAGATATAAATCACATAAAAGGGCAATATTCTTGTTGTAAAAATCATTTCTGATAAAAATTAATTGTAAACTATTATATATTCATGAGTCATACACACCCTCCGTGGAAAAAATGGTACTGAAAGAAATTCGACCCCCCCCCCCAACACACACACACACACACACACACACGAAATAGGATTTTCGTGTTTGGGCAAAGGACACATGCCCCTTATTTTGGCTTGTCAAATTTGTTGTATGTTGGAATTTTTTTACTGACCCCCCCCCCCTTTCAATTTGTTTCCAGTGTCAATGTTTGTAGAAAGTACTTATGATATTCAGATTATACACGCAGTGTCGAATTCGCGAATCATGAAAGGGGGAGTGGCAGTTTCGGGTCTGTGTAGTACACAGCAACATTAAAAATTGATCTATTAAACCTTTTATATATGTTGGACACAAAAAGGGAGCATCCTATTACAACTTCTCAGACCTTTCCGTTGAGTGGGAGAACAAACTCATTTTTACGGGGTCATTCATATACACCCCCCTCCCAAACATACACACAAAATTTAACTTCATTGAATGCGAAGATTCTGTATTATATCTACCACATGAAAGGTTTCCAACTTTGTCTATCCAGAATTTAAATATATAGAAAGCGACTCTCTTTTGAATAACATTTTAATAACCAGTGTGTATATGAGATGTTTATTCGAGCTTGCCGTAAAGGTTTGACCTAAACGTAATCTTAATAATTTTATTTTTACATTTTATTTCCCTTTTCATGGTTCATCTAGATATCATATATCCCCCCCCCCAGTCAAAACCTATTTACTACGGAAATGTTCGGTCAAGTTGACATCTTCACACTTTTTGTGAATGTAACTAATGTAGTATCAGGGACCTATATGTATACTAAGTTAGTATATAGGTCCCTGGTAGTATTAAAGTTAGTGTAAAAAAAATTGTACTGAAAGATGTTGGAGTTGGAACTTATCCCCTACCCGACTCAAACAATTGTTGTTTTTTGTGTTTTATCCCCCCCCCCCTCCCGAACCAAACATTTGTCTTCTTTTTGTGTTTTTGCTTGTCAAATTCTTTTCAAGTTCATTTATCCCCTTTTCAAATTCGATTCTAGGTGACTGCTATGTTAGCGATTTTCGTAAATAAGAGACTGAGCATGACAAAATCAACTTGTTTTTAATAGTGGTGGATTGAATATGTACAAAATAAATCATTTATGATAAAATCTGTGTATTTTAATGATTTAATCCAAAATAATACATTCCGTTTTCCGTTCCGTTCCGTTTTCCGTTCCGCGTTTTAGCAACACCCGAAAGTATTAAATAAACCTAGGATTAGTTAACTACATGTATTTTACTTTCCTAGCTAACCTTATCCTCTGGCTCATTGTCCTCTTCCAGTCCCCTCACAATCTCCTCTACAGCTAGTTTTACTATACACACTGGTTGATTGACTTTAGCCTTGCCAATGGACAATTTTTCCTTTAAAAAAAGCATGACACATTCAGATATCTTGATAACCCATTTATTGCTATCGATTGGAAACTGAGGAAATTCGAGTTCATTGAAACGGAGCTTACCTGTTTTTCAACCAGTTGAAGAGCACTCTGGAGAATGACAAATTCAGTACAATAAAACATATCTGAAATTTACATAAACGTCTTTCTACGTTTCAATGCAGTGATAAAAACTAACATTATGCTGAAAGCAACATTTTAACGTTTAATACTAAATCTATCTTTAGCACACAAAAGAGCTGTTTTGTTAATTTGGTCCATAACTGTTTCGTTCGTGTGTACTTCCACTAAACTTCCACGAAATTAAAAAAAAAAAAATTTATTTTGATGACACAGAATATGTGACTGTTTTGTAATAGATGTCATACAAAACTATGCACAAAACTTATTTTTCTGTTGTTGATAGTAATCTTGATTGAGGACAAACTTGGCATAAATCCTCTGCACATCATAAATCTTCTGCAACAGGAGAGGTGAAAAATGCATCGGATCAAACCCATGTCCCCTGAATCTCCAGTCAGGTTCTCTACCAACTAAGCTATCTGGCCACTGGTATTTGAATCCAGGTTTAAACCACTGCATTTTTCTCCTTTCCCATTACACTGGTTTCCATGACTAGGATTTGACAGGTGAAAGACCTTCTAGGGAAGATCCATGTGTGTGTCATTGGGGACAAAGGCCTTTAAGGAGGGAGAAATGTGGTGGTCAGACAGATTTGATTGCCAGTGTCCTGATAGCTCAGTTGGTAGAGCACCTGACTGGATATTTAGGGGACCAGCATTCAATCCCGGTCCATCTTCGCTAGCCAAGGGTTTCTGATACGCTACTATCTTCATGAGGAGTGTAGCATATCAGAAACCCTTGGCTAGCGAAGATGATCCCGGTCTGGTCCATCACATTTTTCACCTCTCCCGTTACACTTCCAATGTTTTGTCTTATAAATGATGAATTCAAACATGCTGTATCTGACCTACAATGTATACTCACAGGTGAACTATAAGCCAATGCATAGTTCTAGTAATCAAAGTCTAAGATTGACATCAAACAACATATATTTTCTCACAATAGACATAACATGATATGACCTATTAAAAAATGTAAAATACAAGTGTACACCACAATAAAGGTACATGTATATGATTGATATGATGTAATAAAAAGTAGTTTCTAGCTCAAGATAAAATAAAAAAAAACATACATGTACATGTACATTTAAAAAAATCATGTATATGATAGCACAGAGATCATGACATTTATTTTATATAATTTTCATGTATACTATAACTAGTATATTAGGAAGACCTTAATTATAATTGCTAGATAAAATACTGCTACTTACATCCTTCAGAGGGATATGAATATGGCACAACCTATTTTTAAAGGTTTATAAATAAAAAAATCCCTTGCACATTAAACTGATGAATACACAAGCAATGATTTCAAATATTTGGCAAGATATAATGTCACTCCATTCCTTTCTTCAGTAGGTCTCTCTATGCACGTCAGATCACTTCACTAAAACTCCAAATCTGACCCATTTCATGCTAGAGGATTCTCTAATATTTCTAGGTAACAAGTCACACCCACTTCGCTAAAACTCCAAGTCTGACCAATTTCATGCTAGAGGATTCTCTAATACTTCTAGGTAACAAGTCAAACCCACTTCTCTAAAAACTCAAAGTCAGACCCTCTGCTAGAGAATTCTCTAATACTTCTAGGTAACAAGTCACACCCACTTCTCTAAAAACTCAAATTCAGACCCTCTGCTACAGGATTCTCTAATACTTCTAAGTAACAAGTCACACCCACTTCTCTAAAAACTCGAAAGTCAGACCCACTGCTAGAGAATTCTCTAATACTTCTAGGTAACAAGTCTCACCCACTTCTCTAAAAACTCAAAGTCAGACCCTCTGCTAGAGAATTCTCTAATACCTCTAGGTAACAAGTCACACCCACTTCTCTAAAAAACTCAAAGTCAGACCCTCTGCTAGAGAATTCTCTAATACCTCTAGGTAACAAGTCACACCCACTTCTCTAAAAACTAAAAGTCAGACCCTCTGCTAGAGAATTCTCTAATACTTCTAGGTAACAAGTCACACCCACTTCTCTAAAAACTCAAAGTCAGACCCTCTGCTAGAGAATTCTCTAATACTTCTAAGTAACAAGTCACACCCACTTCTCTAAAAACTCAAAGTCAGACCCTCTGCTAGAGAATTCTCTAATACTTCTATGTAACATGTCACACCCACTTCTCTAAAAACTCAAAGTCAGACCCTCTGCTAGAGAATTCTCTAATACTTCTAGGTGACATTTCAAGCCTGATTCTGTAGAGATTTCTGTAAAACTTCAACGTAACAGGGATGAACATGTGTCCCATCAAACTCTACAAAATAATAAAGATACATATTAATATTTTCAATACTTTTTATAAACTTTTCTAATAAAGCTTCATACATTTGTTTAATTTCTTACCTTTTCATGATTAAGATACTTTAAAAGATTTAAATTTAGAGTATTAACTCTGTTTGCATGCATACTGACTTTTTTGGCTTTAGTGACCTATCTTTAACACCAATTTTGTAATTGTATTTCCTAGATATTTATCCTATAAAACTACAAGAGTAGAATGCTGACTGACAATTTTCATACCAATTGTTAGACCATTGTTTATACAATGAATTGTCAATGGATTTTTAGATTTGAACAATCATGACAAGGAGCAAACAGTGGGGGTGACCAGTCAACAGGAATGCTTACTCCTCCATGGTACCTGATCCCACCTCTGAAGATTTAGTTTGCTTTGCTTTCAATATGTATTCACTATTGATTCAATCGACTTTTGAACTTGTATACTGTTTTTAATCTATATACATGTATTTCATTCCTATAAAACTTCAAGAATATACATACAATATATATTTGAGAGCATTATAAACAAGCATTCTGAGAGCATTGCATTAACAATACTAGTCTCCCCTACAGGTAAGTGTAATCTGGTCCCCATTAAAAATTAAAAATACTGTATTTCCCTAAAAAAACATTGAAGCAAAACAAAATTCAAACTTGATCTGTAACTCATCAAGATATGTTGAATGTAAGAAATGACAAAGGGAAATTCATTTGCATTTTTCTACTCTTGAAGAGTTTCTGTTCCGCTCTCAAAGTTTTCTCTTCCATACTTACCATATTGTTTCTTTAGTTTAAGTTCTCCATTTTCCTTAGTCAGCAGACTGTCCACAAAATCTAGCCATTTAAGACTGGTATTGGACAATTTTTTCATCATTCTCTGGTTAAACTGCATAACCAAAGCCCTAATGATAAAATTAATGAAATTTAGTGTTGTGCAAATAAATTTCGAAAGTGTTAACAGAAAGTACTAATAGTTTTATTAAATAAAAGCTTAGTCACTTGCCAGAACCTGGTTACAACTTAACTTTTATTACCAAATTTACCTGGTTAAATCTAGTACAGGTAACACAGGATGTACATAAATGTCCCAGTGATGGAGACTCTGTAACCTTGTCAACAGATCAACATAGATTTCTATCACCCGGTCCATTCCTTCTTCTAAGCTCTAAAATATAGGAGGAACAATATTTAACTTCTTTTATCAAGCTATCCAGTAAATCTCTAAATTGTTGGTAGTAGTCAATCTGATTATTTTTTTTATTTTAATATCTTTACATCATATTTGGCTTTTTCCACACACAGCAGAAGAGCTTCTCTGCAATCAATCTCTCCAAAACAAAACACTGTTGTTGCACTGTCAGGAATCTTGCTTATTGCTGAATTAAAGTTGTGTTTAGGATAAAATATGCTCTCCTTTCGTAGATGCCAGATTTTTGTCCCTGTAGACAAGATCGGGTGGATGATCTTGTCCTCTCCCTGTTTTTTTTTAATACATTAAAATAAAACTCAAAAAACTTGATTGGATTTAATCTACTGTGTTAGATAAACACATACATGTAAATAAATTCTCATCTTATACATTGATAAACCTGCCTTGAACTGGATGGGCTGCCATGCTGGAGGAACACAATGGCTGTCTCCAACAAAGAATACATACTGATCACAGGAAACTACGTGGTTAACATCAACTCTCACTTTCTGCAACTGAGGGAAAATGTGTCACAGTAAAATATTCTCCCAATATCTGTGCAATAAACATTGTGGGAATTTTTGTTGATTTATAAACTTACCTGGTTAATGCATGAGAAGTAGGCAGCCTCATTTCTTATGTTTGTTTTGTGGAGTTCATGCACCTTTGTCAGTGGATCTGATAATTGGAAAGTGAATTTTCAAAAGAAGGACACCATTTTATTTTATAAATTTTTTGGGGGAAAAAAATCTTGAAATTAAATTTATTATGAAGGTTGAAGAATAATGATATTTCCAAACATTTCCATTAAATAGAACACAGTAACAGTAAATATATATACATGGAGAGAGAGCACATTCTTATTTGCAATAAAGACTGATTTTCAACACTACCTATCAAACTTGTGATTGGTTTTATGAAGGCTAATGCTCCTTTGATGAACAGAATCTTGACTAGAGTAAAAATAACGGCCAGTAGATAGTTAACATCCTCAGGGTACGGTTCAGCAGTGGTCACTTTGGAAACTGAATTACTGGGCAAATCTGCTTCTGGAACTAAGTAATGGAAACTATTCATACATGTAAATACTTCTAAACAGTTATTTAACGAAGAAAAAAAAACTTAAATAGGGGAACCATACATGTATATCTATATTGAGTAATCACACAATTATAATCACAAAATCCTTTTATTCAGTAATAACTTTGAAAACTATTGCATAATTTTACCTTTCCTTTGCAAAACATCTTGTCTTAATGTACTTACCATTAAGGTATACATCGCCATGGAAGAGGTTCATGATTGGCAGAAGAGCTCCAATCCTGAAGTTCCCTATTTCTTTATCTGGCCAATGATTTATGTATGTAATCATTTCTTGGACAGCTTCTGTATGTTTTTCAACAAGCTAAATTTTAAAGAATCAGAAATTAAAAAGCAGCTGCATTCTGTATGCACTATCTCACTATAACATTAGTAATAATAGTTGGATTTTAAAATTGATCAAAATTATGGATTACAGATTGAATAACTAGAGCTGTTTGTTAGACATTGCATTCCAATTTCTGTTATCAGACTGAATACATCACACAATTTATCATGTTAAGCCTATTATGTGATTTATACAATCCGCCTTGAGTTAAGATAGAGGACACATTCTCACCTCTAGAGTATGAACGTAAGTTAACAAAGTGTGGGGATTTTCTGGCTGCAGCATGTAAGCATGCTTCAGTAATGCTTCAGCCTCCTTAATAGCTGTAGGGAACAAGAAAGCAAACATGAGTCAGAGGACATTCTGATAGAGAGTGGAAAAGTCTGGGAAGCTAAGGTTTAAGAATCTGAGGAAGTTTCTCACCTCCAACATCACGGAGACTAGTTGCCATAAAAACAACAGCAGGGACATCTCTCCAAGCCTGGCCTGACATGCTTCAGTTACAAGTAATGATATAGTCATAGCATGTTATGAAGCAAGGTAGCAAGAATACAGATATAGAGGAAGGCATAATGTGTAGAGAAAATCACAGTAAGAGGCATGGTGTATATATATTTGTTTAATTTGATTAGTATTTGGTAGTTATCAATCAAAATAAATTTCTACATAACAATTGAATTCTAAATCTGTTTAGCTTTTAGGGTACAGTTTAAAAGCAGAAGAAATGATAATTTATCACATACCTCTCTAATACCTGCATTCCATGTTCTTGTTGACACAAATAAGCAAATTTTTCTTTCACATAATTATCATCTACAATAAAGAAATTTGATACCAATAAAGTATAAAATTTTATTATTTTGTGGATTACAAAATGTGAGATTTACATTCCTTTCTGTCCACTGCTTACCTTGTATATTGACTAGCATGGTCAGCATGATTAGATTTATCTCCCTTTCTGTCCACTACTCACCTAGTTTATTGACCAGTATGGTCATCATGAAAGTGAGATTTACCTCCCTTTCCATCCACTAATCTCATTTGTTGACTAGCACGTTGTTGACTAGTGACAGTGGGATTCACCTCCCTGTCTGTCCACTACTCACCTCTCTTATTCACCAACATGGTCAGCATGACAAGATTTATCTCCCTTTCTGTCCACTATTTACCTTGTTTACTGACACGCACTGCCAGCTTGATAAGATTTATCATCCTTTCAGTCCTGTACTCACCTCTCTTATTCACCAGCACGGTCAGCATGATGGTCATGGCCTCCTCCTTTTGTTTAGGACCCAGAGGAAAAATCAGGGGAGCATACTCTGTCAAGGCATCTAAATGTTCCTGGTTTTCCCTCAATACACCCTGCAAAATACCCATACATGAAGAATTCACTGCAGGGGAATTAAAAGTCAAATGGTTATCATCTCATATACATGTATTTCCTACAATAGTCTGCACCAAATACAAGTACAGGCAGCATCTACGGTAAAACAATTCTGGAATTGTGTATCCCTATACACTGTATGTATCATTTATCCTTTGGTCCATAAATGAATGAATACATGCATTTTCACAAAGTCTGGGTCCATGATTTGGTTGGCTGAACATAGGTGGTCAGATTTTACAAACACAACCATAGAATTTTTTTTGCATTTAGTTTGAAATACCTTGTCAGATTGTAACATTTATGACCATTTTTCCCAGGAGGTACAATAACATAGTAATGGTTCACACAAAAAATAAACACCTTTAAGACTAAAGGCATAGGTGAACTGAAAAGTGTACATGTACATCACAAAATAGATGCGAGACTCAAACCAAAAACTTTTCACATCTAGTGCACTGAACACGTAGCCCATATTACTGAGCTATCACCCCTACACATACAGAACGTTTTTAAAAAGACAAAGAAGCATCACATTTACACACTTGGATTTTTTTGGAAAAAGTTCATTTTTTATGGTCTCTGGGTCTTCTCTCCATTTTTTAAAAATGTATATTCATTTCTTTGAATTAAAATGCACACATATAACATTTCAAATCCATGGAGAGAAAACCCAGAGATAGAAAAAATTTAGAGAAACATGTTTAAAAACGTACCATTTTGTACAAAATGTCTGATCAAGCCAATTTTCAAGTCATTTTTTAGCAAATCAAAATTCACTTTCGGGAAAATATTTTCATTTCCTATTGCACAGGAACTTAATAAAAAAAAAAATGTTAAAATCTCATGTGACATGTCGAATTTTTTTCACTTTTCAAGTACGCTCAGATTCCTGCCGAATGCCAATCAAAAGCGCCCTCGTTCTTTATGCTTCTCAATGTTGTGAATGAGAGAATCAACTCCAAAGAAAGTTTAAGTTTCAAAGGTAATGTGTTGACTCGAGACCCCTAAAGTTGTGAAGATGTGTTACTTAGAAAGAAATGGATTTGTTCTGAAAACTTAAACTAAGCATTAAATGCAGGCGATATGAAAAATGCAAAGCAAGATTGGTTGTTAACATTGTTAGCTGCATCATCTTTGGAATTTTGATCCAGATAAGCTTTATAATACAATTACTTAAGAAGGATCTGCTCTTAAATGTGAAACTGGAACACTGTAGATGTTTTACATATAACAACCAACTACATATGAAATGTACATCTTGTAAATTACCTGTAAAACTACCAGAGCCATATCTGTCTGCCCTTTCCCAACATACGCTCTAGCAAGCCAAACCTGGAATACATAATAAGAATTTAAAAGGAAGGGAAAAAACATTCAAGCATATTGAAAGTGGAAATTTTAATTTTTCTAATTGATCTTTCCATAATCATTACTCAATACAAATAAATAATGAGTATTTATATTGTCACTCTCATGAATTCTCTTTTGTAAGCTTACCTATTTTCATGACTCTACATGATTTTAATTTGTTGATATGATAATAGATCTGCCTAGTTTTACCTGGACATCCTGTTTGTGAGCTGCTGAAGTGCCCCCTCTATTCCGCAGTTCCTTACAATACCCCATCAGTGTTTCTACAGCCTTGTCAAACTCCCCCAGCTTAACATAACACTGTCCAAGTCTAAAACATTATTTCTTTATTTATCATGAACAGAATTAAATCTATTGTTTATACAGGTAATATTCCCAGTATCATTATGACATAATCAAAGAAATAAAAAAATGTTCTTACTTGAATGCTGTGTCCTTTACTTTATGTGCTTGTTTCAAATATGATAGTGCTTTATTGGGTCTCCCAGCTTGTAGATAACAATCAGCTAAAAAAATATTTTGTTGACTCCTAAAGACAGTATAGTATCAGTGGCAAATGATTCATTACATTATGGATGTTAGGTGGGCCATTCTATTTTCATAAATCTCTGATTGCCTACTACAAAATTTTGTTAAGTAAAGCAGATTTTTTGATAAAATATGATAGATTAAAAAAAAGAGAGAGATGAGTAAAGCATTAGTTGATGCACCAGAGATGATTAGTGGTTATTGTAACATCCATCTGTAAAATATATACAAGTCATTTTCATTTGACAAAAAGTTTCTGACTTGAAGTATACCAGTTAGTTTTTTTTTCACTGTCTGAATGTTTGCCATTAATATTAATGAGAATGAGAGTATTTTATAGTAGGTGGTTACAAGTTTTTGGAAATAGAGTGGACACAGAACCTGTACTTATGATATCAAGGTTTATAATAGAAAGATTTACTGTACTGCAATAGATGCTAGAAAGGTGTTTTACTGTACTGCAATACAAAGTTGCAAGAGAGGCATTTCACTGTACTGCTATAAATGTGCTATACTGTATGCAATGGTTGCTATGATGGTTTTAATAAAGGTTACAGGGGTTTTTACTGTACTTCAATAGACAGCTGATAGTTACTTTTCTCTACAGTAATACATTGTACACAACTTAGCCTTACCAATGCCAATGATAGCAGATTGATTGCTGGGTTCTTTTTTGAGGATATCACTGTATAAAACAATGGCATGCTGGATTCGGCATTTAGAAGACAAGGCATCAGCTAATTCTAGTAATTCTGTCACTGAGTATGATGAATCCATTTTCTTTAAAGAGTAGTTCTTTTCAGATACATCATCTGCATTTACTGAATTCTTTGTAGAGGATGGTTCAACAGTTTCAGATGGAACTTTCTTTGCATTTTGCTCCTTCTTGTTCTCTTGAGAATAAAAAAAGTGCTCCACTAAGCACCATAATCACATTTCATCAATACAAATAAATAGTATCAAAAGTATAAATATTTGTGATTTTTTTTTTAAATATTTACCAGTTCATTTACCTTGAACTTACATGTACAAATGTTATACATTTTTAAATGCTTTTAAAAGAAAATATTGGATACAAATCTTACCATGTGGCATTGTCATCCACTTTATATATATGTCATCCATATTCTTCACCTTTTGTAAAACTTTGCTAGACAAGCCTAATGACTGTGTCCTAAAACATAAGACAACATTAGTAAATTAAAAAAAAAAGACATGTACAGCTAGAGTTTGATATCTCAATCATTGATATCTCAAAAAAAATGTTTTTAAACCTTTTTATCACAAATCCTTGAATATATCAAAGTTTTTTCTTTGCCTCACCAAGTTCAAGTTAAAATGCACATCTCTAGGGGAAAGGGTCAAGACTCCCTCTGGGATTTTCCCATAGGGATGTGCGATTTTATCGGTATACCGGTATATCGTGATTTTTTGTTGCGTGACATGTATCGTGATAAGGAGACCTAAATACCGGTCTTTAGGTACATATTATAAAGTCCAGAAATTATTCATTTATTTGTTCAATCTTTCAAATTACAATTTGTAACAGAAAGTATAAAAAATGTTGTAAAAAGTGAAAAGAACGGCACCTTACCATCCAAACATAATTGATTTTATATACATAAAAATTTCAAAAAAGTAAAATTTTGTTTTTCTAGCATATTTTTTAAAGAAAAATAATGACTTTTCATATTAAATCATTATAAAAACTGCTTTTAAAAATACATGTATCATGATATTATCATGATATTGTGAGGAAAAAATCGTGATATATCGCGATATGAAATTTTTGGCGATACCCATCCCTATTTTCCCAGTTATTAATTTTAAAAGTTTTTACGCAAACTAACAAGAAAATGACAACGAATCTACCTGGAAGCGCAGATCCATCGTTAAGATAGTAATGTACCTGATGCAAATAGATTTAGGAAATTGATTAGTCTTTTTCTATCTACCCTTTCCATATTTTAACTGTTGATTTATCAATTCTTCCCTCCACATCTGGGTATTTTGATTTGAAATTGCTCCAGAAAATCTGAAATGTATTGAAGTTAAGAACATGCAGCTGTTACATACCATTTGTAACCAACACCTAAGAATTGTCTACTCTGATATTGTCATTTCTTTGATATGTTTCTACCACAGATATTTTTTTTGAATGCTTGCATAAAAATTCGAAATTTTTTAACAATAAACTTGGGTATGTTAAAACAAATAATATATGAAACAAAGTCATAAGCTAAGTAACAAAAAGCCAATTTCATCTAAATTGGTCCTATGTAGGAAACATAGGTAATCAGAGATTACAGAGCTCACCTCAACGAATGTTGTCTTCAAGTAAGGCAAAGTCACACAATTGCCCAACAAAAAGTGTACATCCAAAAATGCAAAATTTATGCAATTTTGATCTGATACTTTGGAATAGACCTATATAAAAACTTCAAACTAGTTCTTCAAAATCCAGCATCTGAAGCAAGTTTAAGAGTTTTCATCCCTTGATGCATCATTTGGGCAAGTTTGGTTTATTTAAGCCTTATAGTTTCTTGGTGATAGACCTGCACCTATAACTTTTACCTGGTCCTTTATCTGGAAAATGTATGTCGAATTCAGCATCCGGAGCAAGTCCATTAGTGTGCATCCTAACTTCCTAAGATGTATCATCCATGCCAGTTTGCACAACATAGGGCTAATAGTTACTTAGAAATGAAACCTGCATTAAAAATTTAACCTCTTCACTCATCCAGAAAAAAATGTAGGTCAGATTCAGCATCTGAAGCCAGCCTGGTAGTATGCAACCTTAGATGTATCATCCTTGCAAGTTTGGTCATTAAAGAGCTCATAGTTACTTGAAAATGAATCCTGCATCAAAAACTTTAACCTGTTCACTCATCCAGAAAATGTAGGTCAGATTCAGCATCTGAAGCAAGTCTGGTAGTATGCATTCTAACATGTATCATCCATGCAAGTTTAGTCATTATAGGCCTCATTGAAACTTGGAAATGAAACCTGCCCCAAAAACTTTAACCTGTTCACTCATCCAGAAAATGTAGGTCAGACTCAGCATCCGAAGCAAGTCTGGTAGTATGCATCCTAAGATGTACCATCCAAGTTTGGTCATTATAGGGCTCGCTGTGTCTTGGAAATGAACCCTGCACCAAAAACTTTAACCTGTTCAATCAACTGGAAAATGTAGCTCAGATTCAGCATCCAAAGCAAGCCTGGTAATGTGCATCCTTAGATGTATCATCCATGCAAGTTTGGTCAACATAGGGATTATAGTTACTTGGAAATGAGACCTGCACCAAAAACATTAACCTGTTCACTTAACCGGAAAATGTAGGTCAGATTCATCATCCAAAGCAAGTCTGGTAGTGTACATCCTTATATTAGATTTATCATCCATGCAAGTTTGGTCAACATAGGGCTTATAGTTACTTGGAAATGAGAATTGCACCAAAAACATAAACCTGTTCACTCAACCGGAAAATGTAGGTCAGATTCAGCATCCGAAGCAAGCCTGGTAATGTGCATCCTTAGATGTACCATCCATACAAGTTTGGTCAACATAGAGCTTATAGTTCCCTGGAAATGAGACCTACACCAATAACTGCACCAAAAATGTTAACCTGCTCCAAAAACATTAACCTGGTCATTCCTTTGCTGAAATTGCAGCATCTGAAACTTTGACTGGTACAATGAAACACATTAGAAGCATCTTCCATGCATGTCTAATCAATATAGGACATAGAAGTACTTATAAAGAAAACTGCTCCAAAAAACTTAACCTTAACCTGGGACGCCGACGCCGAGGGTATTACATAAGCTCCCCCAACTTCGTTGAGGTGAGCTAAAAATGTTTCAAATAATTCCTTCAACATAAGATTTGAACACATACTCTATTTAGCTAATGTGTAAGACCTATACACATGATATTGATAAACCTTTGAATTATCTAAACACAATATTAAAGTCTTACATCTACAAGATTTTGCAAACATTTGTCATCATTTTCATTCCATCTGACAACCATGGTAAATGGTGGATCTTCTGTATGCACATAGAACTTCATCCTTGTTTACTCCTCAGCAACCAGACTGAAAGTTTCAAAGTACAGTTGAGCTTTGGTACCTTGAATACCAATATCTCAAATAAGTGGGATATGTTAAATAGAGTTGGCAGTCCAAAGCACTACAAGTTTATATGTTGACTTATGTCAAGGGTTAAATAGAACTACTTTTCTTTACCCGTTCCCCAGATCCACAATGACATGCTTAAATACATGTAGGACTATGATGAAAGATTAACATCACATCTGATTATAAGGGTTAGTTTTGCACACTACTCAACTAATTTGGGTTAGTTTTGCATCCACCTTAAAAATTATGTTTAGTTCTTGCACAAGTATTCAAATGACTAGGGTTAGTATCACATTCATTCGAGAGATCAGGGCTAGTCCAACACACTATTGACTGATTAGCTCCTCTGGGGGAGATACATGTATGGGTTAGCACTCACATACCATCCGACAGATTAGTTCTTAAGAAATTTAGTTGCACCCACTTCTATTTTTTGCATTGTTGACCATTATTTTTGTTCAATTTTTCACTACAAATTAAAATCATTTAATGTTTTTTTCGAGAATGCAGTTAAAAACTTGTTTAAAAAAGAATTTTTAAACTTTGCTTTTAATGCAGAAGAGGATTTTGGGGTGAAAAAGGCCAAAAACCTGTATATTGAAATTACTTATGGTGAAACCGTATTTTAGCACATTTTTCTAGTGATATTTTATGTGTGGCAGTCAGTTGGGTTCGATCGCTGGTAGCCAGATGAATCAGTTGTTAGAGCACCTTTCTAGAGATTCTGGGTCCAGGTTTGAATCCTGGTCTGGTCTGCTGCATTTTTCTCCTCTTCTATTACATTTCGTCCCTTACCATGTCCGGGAATAATAGGTGAAAGACTTGCCAGGGATGAGTCCGGGTTGGTGGCATGGGGGGGGGGGGGTTAGAGGGGTGGCCTTTATGGAGGGAGGAATGTAGTGGTGTAATCCCAGAGCTATAGCTCATTTGGAGCACCTGACAAAGACATTTAGGAGGCCTGGGTTCGAATCCCGGTCTGGTTCACTGCGTTTCTTTAAAATACATAAGACATATCGTCCAGAAACTCGGGTACAAATTGACGCGAAGAGAAATCCACGTACACACCCCCATTAACACTTATTAAGTAAACATCACATGTAACCGGTACTTAGAGCATTTTCAAGTTTCATCAATATCATAACCTGAAATGAACAGATTCTGAACACTGATGAAAGCACATTATGTAGCTTGGAATCTTCAATGAATAATTTTCAAATTCAATTGTAACAAACCTGATGACTAACGTTCGACAACTTTAAACTTCGAGTTTAAGTTGTCCCAACTGAACATCCAACATCCTACCAACTTTGTTGTTTACACCGGAAACCGGAAGTTGAAAAATGGAGGAGAAATGCGCAGGTGCATGAGGAGTTGCTGGCAAGTGCTTGAACGGCTCAGGAGTAACAGTTGAGCAAGCAAGCTGTATGTGATGGTGACCTAAAACGGAATCAGTTTTTTAACATATACTGTGTATAGGATGTTATCTTTGTGTTTTGGATATGCTTTTGCACTTATCTCTCTGAAGTATCCCGAAATTGTATGCCCTGTATATTTACATTCAAAGCCATCAGCTCGCAAGTCATCTTTTCAGTGAAAATTCCAATGATGGATATATCGATCAGTTTACCTATCAATTGAAATCTTTCACTTTTGAGTAATGTTTTTTCTTTATGGAATTTAATAATGTAACTTTTCAGAAATTGTTCTGAAGTTGGGATTTCCCACAATATCAGTATGACATGACTCTCATATCAAATATGATGTCTCTATTCATTATGAAGAAAAAGAGGTTCAAGTTTAATGTTAACTTCAGACTTGAAGAGTTGTCCTCAGTTCCATTCATAAGTGGATTGCTCTTTGCTAAAATTCGACTCTTGGATGGAGGAAACTTCTCGGATCAAAGCACAAGGTAACATATAGACCTATCAAGATGTGTAGAAATTAAGGCTGGACTCAGGATATATTACTCAGCCTGGATCTATAGCTCAGCGGTTAACATTAGAGCACCTGGCTAGTAATGCAGGGGTCCTGGGTTTGATTCCCAGTCCAGCAACATGTTTTTCCATTATATATGTGTTTATGAATTTTCACCTTATGTTTACTCATTCCTCCTTTCCATACTACAGATGCTATGTATGTATCCTGTCACTCATTGTGATCGATATATTGTGAAAATTTTTTTTCAAATGCATGTCAAAATGTGTATCTTCTGTTAGATGTCCTACATTGTTAAATTGATTGGAAATGAAATATGTTGCCTGGATTCATGTACATATAACATGCTAAATAGTATTCTCTTCAGCTAAATGGACAGGCATATCTATGTGAAGGTCCCAAAACGTGTTAATCCAAATCCCGAAACGTTGGGGTCCCGAAACATCGTGGTCCCAAAACATCCATAATTCTGCTAAACAGTATATTCTCTTTAGCAAAATGGACTGGCATAGTCTATATGAGGGCTGTATTTGCTTATAAGAAAGCTTACATGTAGACTGTTAAAATCCTGTCTTTGTGAATCATCTGATCAATTCAGTGATACTGTCTTAATTGTCAGAGAAACAGAGATATGAAGTATAACTTGCACCAAGCATGATAAAAAGCTTTTTAAATATGTCTTTATATGACTTTCAACATTATTTTCAAATTGTCATAATTTATCCAGATTAAAAAAAAAGTAAAACAAATTATATTCGTCAAGTTCTGATTTTTTTTTAATTAAAAGAAATCAATCGGTATGGTGCAATATTAAGTGACTGTAATAGTTACTACCTAGGAAACTAACATATCCTTTTTATGTCACTTGTTGGGACTTGTTTCATTAATTTTCCTTTGTAGTCATGGTCTTTGATGGTGCTGCAATTAAAATTACTCCTTTGTATTCCATAATTCATTAGAGACTCACCTTTGTAATTGATTACTAAATGAGTAGGAAAGCACAAGAAAGTAACTGTCTGCATTATGAAGTATATGGATTCTGGTAAAAGACATACCCCTACTATGGATTCATCTCATTTTATATATCATAGGAATTATAGATATTTACATGTGAACATTTCACATTTCACTCAATTTGACATTTAGTATACTACAGATTGAATATTCTGATGACTCATATACATCATTGTACATGTATGTCCCAACATTTGAAGGATTTACAATTTAATAAGGACTAGATTTGGCTTTTATCCATTAAGAAAACTAAATTTGACTGCAATACTTCTTTCACCTAAATTATAAAATCTTTCATGAAAAAAAAAAATTCTTTATGTACTCTTAAATTTTTACTTTCCATATATGTAAAGTAATTTTTCTAATTTATAAATTGATGATCTAAACCAAAGGTGACTAAGGATTAAATGTTTATAAATGAAAGCATGCTTCTTTTTACATCTATTGCAGATAGTAAAGCTTTTTACTTCTCAAATTTCGTCGAGTTGTGCACATTTTTGTGAAATTTTGCCATGATCATTCATGAAAAAAAAAGAAAAAAGCATTTCTATTTACTTTTTAAATATTACTTAATACTTTCAAAATGTGACATTTTATTGCATTAATGCGAAATACACCAATTCCAACATGTTAAAAAAAAAAACAGCTCAAGTAGCAGTAGCTTTGTCCACAAAAAGGTTCCTCTATTCTTTGTAGGCATGAGTGTCAAATATATATCTAACTTTGCTGCTTTCTAAAAGCAATTGGTGGCATCCTAATATGATTGAAAAATTCTGAAGGGAATCAAAGCAAATAAACAAAATCATAAACTTTCAATTGGTTTAATCGATAATATTGAAAATTATTTTATTCATAAACATGAACGTCAAATTTTCATGTTCAGTGTGGAATTTTAGTCATGTTATGTTATTGGAGATATCTTTATTTAATGCTTACAAAGAGATTTATCATTAAACATACATTGATGCAGGATTCCCCTGGACAGTAGATTAGGTACTATGTATGGGGGTCTTTATTTAATCCTTAGTCACAACTGGAGTGCAAATGTGAATCATGTCGTGATTATTTAGGGATTTTAAGAAGATATAAACTTTTAACCTAGAATAGCTCAGCTTGTATCTAGTTCTTTTATGTCCATTAAATTGATTAATATCCCTATAGTGCACTAAAAAGTAGAGCCTAATACTGTTCTACAGTATACTTACTAGCATGCTAGCAGGAAATGTCTTTCATAAAATAATTTGCAAAATTAGAAACACAGTTGTTCTAAGGCTGAACATTTACTAAATTAAAATTTTCTCTGGTTTTGTGTTTATACTATTAAGAATATTAAACCCCTTTTTGTTTACCATGAAATGTTGCTATTATTATTTGTAGTAAATTTTAAAGTTCCCTATTTTTCCTGTCAATTGAATTCCTGCACAACCTTTGAAAAGTTTATGAACCATGAAATGTACACTGCATGTAGGTGTAGACCCCTGTTTAACTGGTTTTAAATCGGGAGATGCCTGTGATTCATTATAAGTTCCTCCTAAATATTCCTTGTGAATAGATTTGATACCCAGCTAAAAGGACTTTGAAACATGAGCTCCTCAATGGGGAAAAGAAACTCTATTGCCAAACTCTTACTTTGAATTAAAAGTGTTGAATTATGAATATAAGAAACCTCTTGTTAATTGAATGTCAGTTTTTGCCAAAAGGAAGTCCCTCTTAGGGATAATAATCTTGAGAAGCTGTAATAATCAAACTTCAAATGAATAAAACACTTTATTTTCCCTTGATAACTACAATCATATACGTTGTTCTATTGTTTTATATGTACGGGCGTGTGGGGCAGTGAGTGTAAATAGTTGGCATGTCTAACTAGAATTTGCCTGAGCTGGACTGTAATATTTAGACCAGACATAGTTCGACTTAGCTAGCATCATACTCTTCTTTTGTTCAGTTATATACATTTCAGACTTACTAAACTAGGTATATTCAAAGGAGGAGTGGATCTTTTCCGAAGAATTAAAAAAAAGAAAGATAGTGTGCATTGTACAATCTAATGTTTGGAATAATAATGGAACCATTTTTAGTACTGATAAGTATACAAACAGTAGGATAGAAAAAGAATGTCATTTTTATCTAATCATTGCTAATTATCAGTTGGAGTGTGTGGATGGAAAGATGCGTTTACCTGTGGCAGTGAAGGGTACATGTTCTGTTATGATAGATAGATAGATGATAGAGAGATGGTATGTAGGGATAGATAATAAATTGTTAACCCTCTGTTGATTGCAGTGTGTATACCTCTGAAATTACAATTAGTCACAGTTTGACCTCTGTATCAGCCGACCAACAACTCAAGCATCCTGTTTATACAAACAAACAATAACTAAGTAGTGGAGGGTTAGTCAGGTTAATTAACACAGGAGTCTTTTATTGTAGGACACTGGGGTTACTGTCCTGATATTTAAATTGAATTGTCATTGATATTATGAATAAGTTAATGAATGGTTTCTTTTCCACTTCATTCTCAGCATGTTGCTCATTAATATATATACATGTACATATAAATCTACACATGGATGCTATACTGCAGTGAGACTTTGGTGCATTATTCAGTATGCAGCTTATCTTGTAATATGATGTCACATAATACCAATTTAATGAACCACATAAAATGCTTTGGAATGCTTGTTTACACATGACAGGAAAATAGTTCAAACTCTGCACTTTACTAAAGTACATCATGTCCTTTGCCTTCATAAATTTAGAAATTATCTATGACTATATATATGATCAAATTGAAGGGACAGGGAAAAATGGATGTTACTATATCCCCTCGCAACAGAGTTAGACAGGATATAGGGTTATATATACTATATTGTAAGGCCATATAAAATTAATCTTTAGATTCTCATCCCCGCCCGCCCCTCTAAAAATGTCCCGCCCCGATGTTTTTTATTTTGATTTTTGGGTATTTTCATGTATTTTTATTCAGTAAGAATTTTGTTCAAAGTTTAGGAGTTATCTCCCGTCTGTATTAAAAGTCGCGTGTCGCTATTTATAGCAAAAACGCCATGTGAAGAATGGAGAAAAATCGGCAATAAAAGCAGTTTAAATGTGTAAGGAAAAGATAATTTGTCAGTATAGAGAAGGCAGAGAAGAAAAATTAGCATAAACACATTTAGATACCATCACTGGCAGGAGCAAGTATGTAGAGAGATTGAAACTACTGTAAGTAAAAACAGACGAGGAAAATGACACCTGGTCAAGTTATATATAACGATCTCCAGCTGTGTGACTTTGATTTGAAATAAAAAAAAAATCTACAACATCGTAGACAGACTTAAGAGAAGGCCTAGATTTTTCAGTGGAATAATTATTAGAACATTTATATAGTTTTTGCAAAATAAGAAGTCACGCATACACAATTTATTGGTATCCCTACCTCATTTTGTTCAGGGTGTGCCGTATAATGTGTACTTGATAATTTGTTAATTAACAATAAATATTTAATTTTTAAAGCAAAAATTTTCTTTAAATATTTAAAAGAATATGAAAAGAATTAAATCTATTCATATTTGCATTAAGGTAATGAAAAAAAATGTGTACGGGAAGTCCATTGTTTTGTTGATACTTAGGCCTATATATAAATTAACAATTATAAAAAATAAAAAATAAAATCCGCCCACCCGCCCCAATTTTTTAGCAAATTAGGATGAGAATCTAAAGATTAATTTTACCTGGCCTAATGCTCTTGTGTATGTGTTAGTTTTGTGTGTGCAAGTCTGTCCTGTGGAAAACAGAAGTGACATTAATTTCATTGTCAAATGCTGCCTTGATTTACAGATATGTGAATGCTCATTCGCAAGAGGATGCTCTGCTTTGTGGTGCCCTTGTTTAATTTGATTTACAGAATAATCATAGTAGATGCTTAGTCACAGATCTGCTTTGTCATGCTCAGCTCCATCT